CAACGCCAGGCTCTACTGCTAGTCAAGTATAGATTGGGAACTCCAAATGACCTATGTAAACACCTAAAATCATCTCAATGTAGGCTCAGAATCTGATGAGTCTAGTAAGGGTTTGAAATACCTCCCAAGAAAAATACCACAGACTTAGCAAAGCTGGTTATCAACCCACATGCTTTGGTAGCATGATCCCAAGAATGCATCAGACCATCAAAATTTTGCTTAATAGTTCAATCTACACTTGGATATAACTTAAAATAATATGATGTATATGTCATTTGCACATAAATATTATCAAGTATCTCTCCTAATTGTGTAGATACAAATACATTTTTGATTATGCTGAATGTTTTATGGATAACAAAGAAATAAATTTTTAAATATCAATTTCAATCACATTCTATCAAAAATCATTCTGTGACACTATTTAGTTATGGTAATTGATTAACTAATTAACCATAAAAATTAAACAAAAAAATACTGAGAATGGAAAAGAAGATACCCAAAGATTTTATTTTTACTTTGGAAAAAAAACAAAAAAAAACAAAAAAAACAGTTACTTTTCTCAAAAACCCGAGAATTGGCGTAAACAGTGGACTCACAAAAAGGCCATATGCGAGCTTTTGACAATTGATTAATGAGGTTTGCAAAAATACTGGTTAAAGAAAACCCTAGAACAAAATATCATTTGAAATCACAAGATTTTAGAAGTCAACCAGATGATGAGGCCATATGTTAATTATAAAAATTTTGGCATGAGAAAATATTCTGAAATATTTGCTGATACAGGGTGGAGAGAATTACCATTATTTATTTTTTTTCCAAAGAAGACAAGGGTTTGCATAGATGCTAAACTCCACGAAAGGGACAAAATGGTGGGCTTTGACAATTGATTGATGACGTTGTAAAAGTACTGATCAAGAAAAACACAGAATAACCAAGTGTTGAGGATATGGTTTTAAGTGGCCATGTGTTGATTATAGAATTTTGGCATGAGAAAATTGCCGATTTGAAGATAAAGAGATTTTTTTTTTTCTGAGAAGCCAAAAGTTCCCGCAGACCTTGACAATTGATTGATGTTGTTTGTAAAATCACGAGTTAAGATGAAAAGTGGCAGGAGCGTTGAAGATATCAGAGATTTTAAGAGACAGAGCCATGTGTTATTTGTAAGAATTTTGGCTGGTGAGAATGAGAATTTTGTAAACAAAGATTCTAGTTTATAATTTTAATGAGGTCAGCTTAGCCACACCCGCACAGCCGGGACACCATTGGTTGAGTGGTAGCAGTGGTGATAGGCGGAGGTAATTTGATGAGAAAGATGGAGAAATTATTAATGCCCACTGAAAGGAATTGGTATGAGGTACCAATGTGTGAAGGAGGGAGGATAGCTATCCTGCAACCTCTCCTCACATCCAAAGGGATCCCCCCAAAAATGGAAAGTAATCAATTTTCCTAGCCAGACAACAAAGCGGTCCCTTGTCAGGAATCGGGATTTACCGAAAGCCCCAGGCTGTGCCTAACATAGCACCGGTTTTTGGTCGGTGTCCATATAAGCGAGCGCCCTCGGGCAGTTTACCAGTTAGTTGAGAAGTTTCGGTCCAGCAGTTCAAGTAGCAGGAACCAGAGTGTTGCCTCACAGAAGTTGACCAAGAGATTCCATGACTTCCGACTTTGCCTTTCCTACCGACAGTAAGTTATACTGACGAACGAAGCTAAGCCAGCACTTAAAAACTAAACCAGTTAACTTAGAAGACCAGAACTTGCCTAAGAACTATAAAAGTGTCACTCTCCAAAGAAACAGGTTGGGAGAAAAACACACACTCCTGTATATAACAGACGAATAAAAGTTGATTTCCTTCTTTCAACATGCTTCTTTTCTTTATGCTTGTGCGATATCATCTCCAATTTAGACCCATCTTACACTATGTCCCAATGCCTGATTGATCTTGTCTACCTAAGATCAAAATCACAACCTAGGTAGGTTAGACTTGAGATCGAAGTAGTTACTTTGGTAACCAGACATTAGGAGTGAGCTGAGAATGACGGATCTGGTGTGAAGCCATTTGAAATCGACCGACCATCCCACTTGGTACACTGACTAAAGTGACAACCACCGATCGACTGGGACACAGGTTGGTGGCAGCAACTAGGAGTCAACCCCAAAATCTGGTTGGAGAAATATAGTTTTATAAATTCATGATCATTTTATCCTACATTTTTTAAAGATCTGTTTATAAGGGTGGATCAATAAATTCAAAGCCCAACTCATAGTTCTAAGCTGAATTTTCACTGTATAATGCACGATCTACCTAAAAGCATTGACAAGAAAAGAGATGATACTAAAAATAAATATTGTGTAAAAAGAAAACTTTTTCTTTCTTTCATTAGTCTGAACTTATTGATGTACTTACAGACACACTTTAGTATATCTGCTAAGTAATTTTATAGTGAAAATTCTGGATATCTTTTATAAAACAAAAGTTAATTTTGATTACACAGGATATTGTATATCAAAAACATAACTGCCACAATGTCAGGTCAATGCTCTGCAACTTAATATTGTCTGCAAGAATAACTAATATGATAAATGTTAAGAAAGATTAAATATTGATGAGTAAGAAAAGGGAAATTTTGATCCACTTAGTTATTAAAACAGATTATCTGCAAATAGAAATGTTCTCATCCAAAAACCTATAATTTTATTATACCATTTACAATCATAAAAAATAAATCCTCAATCACAAAGTTCATTGCATAATGGATTTATGGAGACTAACATAAAGAGAAATAGGAGAAATGACTAATAGACCAAATCAGTTGATTTTAAATATTTTTATAACAGGAAATAAAACTTAAACTGTCAATTTTTTTTTCAGATTACTTTAGTCCTTTAGACAAAGAGTAATTGCTTTCTACATTTGCATATCAGTGTGAAAGTGTAATATTTAATCTTGTGTGTGTGTGCACGCACAAAATTAGTAACAAGTTCAAATCTTTATACTAGAAATGAGAGTAAATATCAATTTCAAAGTGATTAAAATATGCAGTCACAAATAAATATATATATATATATTATATATATATATATATATATATATATATATATACCTAGTGAGCCAGACAAACCTACCTAGGTTTCACCTAAAAACGGATCGTCAGGGAAAGTGATTAGCAAATCAAAATTAGAGGGTTTTTATAACGAGTCTAGTTATCTATATATATATATATATATATATATATATATAAAAATATAAATAAAATGGACTCTCCCATTGGTTTCGATGTATGAGGATCTGACAGCTTAGTTGGTTCAGTTATGAAATTTTGTGCAATAATCTTAAGTGGCATTTAAGATCTGCTAGTGATTTACAAAGGAGGCCACATATGGAGCAAGAGTGAGGATTGTGAGATGAGATCACTGTTAGATTGGCTGACCTTTTAGTTCTTGCTCTCGCTTCTTGAAGATGATTCAGACAAGCAGACTGAAAACTGCTGTGTCCACTAAAACATGTCGATCTCCATTCTACCTGCTCCAAGGCTAAGCGCTCAAGGGTGTTATGTGGTATATTGACAGCTGACAAGTTACTTTTCAGCTTGTCTTTGTATCTTAGACATGGGCATCCTACATTCCTGTAGCCCTGATCTAACTAGCTGTACATTAGGATCTTGGGTATCTTGTCATCAGACATTCTCAAGACATGACCAGTCCACCATAACTGAGACTGTATGAGAAAAGTCTCTATTCTTCCAATATTACACTTGTTAAACAGGTCTATGTTAGATGTCCTATCTTGAAGGTTAACTCCACAGATTGCATGCAGACAGCTTTTATGGAAAACATCCAGTTGGCATATATGGTACCTGTATGGAGTCCACGACTCTGAGCCATACAAGGATGGCAAGTACAACAGCTCTGTAAACCCGAATTTTCGTATCCAGTCAAATACCCTGCTCCACAAGCGATGGCGAAGTTTGCTGAAAACACTGGTAGTCTTAGCAATCCGATGCATGATTTCATCATCTAAAGTTGCACTGTAGTTGACTTTGCTACCAAGATAGGTGAAAGACTTTACATAGTTCAGGGATTTGTCTTCTACTTTCAATGGTCTCTCTGGAAATTTGTAGACTGGTGGTTTTTGTTTCTTACCACAGAATTGTTTCGGAGTAGGACAAGGTTGGTGCACTACTTCAGTTTTCTTTATGCTAAGTGGAAGACCAAAGGCTTTACATGCAGCAGAAAAATGATTTATTAGATGTTGGGCCTCCTCAAAGGATGTTGCTACAAGAGCAGCAGCATCAGCAAACAAAAAATTACGAATAATTTGTGTATGAAGGTGGGTCTTGGCTTTGAAGCGCTGATGATTGAAGAGACCACCAGTTGTTTGAAACTGAAACTTGACGCCACTCTCTGTGTCTGCAAATGCATATTTCAGCATCACTGAAAAGGACAGAGGCCATGACATAATCTTGCTTGGTGCCATTAGCTTTCATTCCTTCATGAAAGGAGATGATAACCTTTAGCATGTTTATATATACTGAGTTACTCATTTTACGAGCATCTCCATCTGCTACAATCTCTGTTGCAAATGCCTGTTCAGGAACATTTGTGTTTGTTCAACATACAGAGTTCACCTGTGATTTATACTGGAACTATGCTGAGCATACCTTAGTGTTTCTGGGAGTGAGTGCATAATGTGGCATGATCAACAGTGTGAATAACACTAATATGTTCAAACCTTTGATCATTGTGATTCATACTAGCACAGCCATTGGCAGTGATTCCAATACTTACTGGGTGACTCATACTTATGACTTTTTGCCAAAACTAAACTATGCTTGATAAATAACACAAATCTGATAAAGAAAAGGAAACTACAAAAGATGTGTTTTAATAAATTTAATGCTTCAATGTATTAATTACCAAGATGAAAGGAATTTTATTTTACACACACTATAAATTTGGTAAGAGCTTAAGTCACTAAAAGACTTTTGGAAGTACTTACTTCTCTAAAATTGATTTTGTTATCCTTGTCTTCATCAACTTCCTTGATCATATCTTTTAGAGCCAAGTGGGTTTGAGGTGCACCAAGTTTCTCCATCATGTGCTTTAACTCTTCAAAATCAATAAAATTGTCATGACCTGTGTCATACCTGAAAGGAAATAAAGATAAGTTAAAAAAGGAGAATATGGAAAGACTGTAAAATAAAATTCCAACACCTCATTAATTATAAGCAGCAAATAACAGGAAAAACTAACCAAGGAACTGAAAAGAAAGAAGAAAAGAGTTAATTGATATTAAGAGGTTCTTTTAAAACAGAAACAATTGTGGTTTTAGCCAAGCAATGGTGAATGAATCAGCAGTCAAGTTTTTATCTTAAATAAGTGGTGAGTGAATAAAATGATATTCACTAAAGAAAAAGGAAAATGACTTTAAAAAAGGTAAAAAAAAAATTTTTTTTTTAAATATAAAAGTAACTTGCAACATTTCAATCCAAAGTGAATCCTTTTCTCATTTTAAATGTCATTTTTAGTAGGCAATCTATTTATTTATTAAACAGTATATTTATTTTTGTCTACTGGGCTGAATGTTCAAGAAATCCATTCTAAAATTCTTTGTTTATAATTGGATCCAAAACTGCAGGTATGAAAAACTTTGAGATCTATGACAAGAGAAATTTTGCGTAAAAGCATGAAATTTGGCCTGGCCTGATTGACTGCTCTTCATGGCCATGTTGGTAAGGAGTACCAGGCTAAATGGTATCTCCCTCTGCCATGAGGGACACAGGTTCGATTCCTACTGGAGAGTTTTTCTTTAATAAGATTTCTCAAACATTTAGGCCAGTCGATGAAAATAAATATACTGTAATAAATGAACAGAGCACCTACTCAAATATAAATATATATATATATATATATATATATATATATATATATGCACAAATATATATGCAAGCTTCATTAAATATAACAGAAAAGATGCTTTAAGTTTTTATATAATTTCTCATATGATCTTATAATTTTTTTTCTTTTCAGTAGATAAATTATACAAAAACTGTCCAAATGTTATATTTTTCCAAGCGCTTTCACCTATACACTTAGCCATTTTCAAGGATGAAATATATTAACTCTTCAGTGGAAATAGATTGCTGTATGTATATATTTAGTAGTATAGAATGTTTTATTTTCAAAACACAGTCAACATATTGTGTCCATGCTCATAGTTGATATTATTGAGTTGACTGTGTTTTGAAAATAAAACATTCTATAATACTAAATACAATTATATAAATTATATAAAAAACTTAATCAAAGCACCTTGTCTGTTATTTAATGAAGCTTGCATGAAAGAAAAGTCGCTGCTATATATGTGTGTGCGTGTGTGTGAAAAAATGTATTATACCAGTGTTGTGATAAAAGAGTTATGCTCATAAATATACTAAAAATGTTTTGTCTAAATTTTTAGAATATTTTTTTAGTTAAACCAAAAAACACATTTAATCATAATTTGTGTTAACATTTTTAAAAAAAAAAAAAGTTTTATAATTTTTTTTAGTGATTTATATTATCTTTAATTATTTGTTTAGAAATTTAACAATCAAATTATACAACAAACTTTTATAGTTTATAGCAATATACATTTTTAGGGATTGCAAAAATAATGAAATAAGCATATATTTATTTATTCTTATTTAAGAATAAAGAAGCATATTTCTTGAATTAATTTAAACAAATGTCAGACTTATTTATGCAGTAATATACATTAGTAATATTATAATACAAGATGGCTAACCATAAATGTTAGTTTGAAACAATCTAATCTAAAAACTATGAAGACCTGGTATTAGGTGGTCAGTTTTATAATTATGTGTGCTAGTGAGGAAATGGAAAAATAAAAGAAAGAAAACCAAAGAGCAGAAAAAGTTCTAAAATTGATCATTCAATCATTTGGTCCAGTTGAGCATAAACTCAACAAGTATATAATAATAAATTAGTTTTAGTGTGTGGAAATATATGGGTGGATTCTTGCTTTAGAAATTATTTCCCCCACTCTTTGAAGTTTTTCCAAATGTGTTAATTGATGCAAATATAAAGCTGTTAATTGTTTTAATGATATATGTTAAATGAGCCAATATTAAATCTTAATTAAGCAGATAACAAGAAACATGTACTTCTGAAAAATAATTTCTTGCCAAGAGTTATATTGTAAACCTGTAACTAGTGTTTCTCAAAATTGCCAATTGCCTTATCAGTTAAAAAGGATAAAAAAAACACTTAATGAATTTAAACATGGAACTCCAGGTGAGTGAGGAAAAATAAAAAAGGTAAGAAAACTTCATTGTATAAAAAAGGCAAAATATTTTATAACATAATTTACTTAAGAATGAAATACAAAGTTTCCATTGAAATTAATGAAAAGTTAGTAAAGTAAATAGAACACTAAAGATATTTTTACAATAGAATAAGTTCAAAATTTCTCAAGTTGATAAAGCAAATACCATACAAAAGATATCAGTACAGTGGAGCAATACAACACAAACTTTGAAAACAATATGGAAGTCTTTGAATTCAAAGTAAAGCCTTCTATATTAGATACAAATATCAAACAACATTAAAAAAAAAAAAAAAAAAAAAAATTAAGTGACTTCTTATAATTCATGGTCATTCTTCAGGTCCTAAAAGAATTTGTTTTCCAATTTATCAGTGGATCTGAATGTGGCTTTGCAACTCATTGTTTTGTACCTTGATTCAATGCTGGTTCAGTCAGCATTGTCCAAAATTTCAAGGTTGGTGATGCAATTCTGCAGCATGATTTCATGTTGAACTTTTCCAATTTCTTTACGTGTCTGCAGTACAAGGTTCATATTTTAAATATACAGAGGAGAGAAAGGAGAACCATTTCATTGTACATTTTAAATTTCATTGACAGGCATATATGGTGCTGGTCATACACTGTAACAGATTCCCTTCAGTACAGGGTTTGTTTTGCTGGTTCAAACATTAATTCCTTTGTCCAGAGAACCATCCTGGAAACATTATGTATTTGATGCTATTGACATTTGCAAATATCATCTCTGGTGATGGTTGGTGCAGGTTGATAAAACACTTCAGTCTTCGAGACATTGTTAGGCTAAACAATTTTAAAATTACTTAAATGATATAAATATAATACAAAATTAAAGGAATTTCAATTCTAACCTATGACACACAGACATGACTACTCTCAATTGAGGTAAAAATGAGGAGTAAATATGTCCCCTCATTGTATTTACAATGTATAGATTGAAAGCCCATGTCTATGACTTTTTGCCAATCATACTAAAATTTTTTTTTAATTGGACTTACAATTTTGCTATATGTTGAATAAAAGTTATAAACTTTTCAAAGTTATAGAAAAAGTAATAAAATAATGTAAATGAATTTCAATAATAAAAATAGAACTCTTTCTATAAAGATTCATATCCTGATTATCTATGACAATAGGAAAGCAATCACAGCAAACAGATTTTTTTTTAGCCATCACTTGATTTTACTTATTTTAGGAAACTTGGGCAATTCCTACCTTATTCTAATAAAGATAAGAAAATTAGTCAAGATATCAATTTTCATGAAGAAATCAGTTTCAAGTAATAATAACAAAAAAGTGGGGACAGAATCTGTTTTTTTAAACCTTTTCTTGGTAAGGGTGAGAGACTTTCAGCTCTCCACATATAAATTATCCCTGTTGTGCATGTATAATATATCTTGAGAAGCCCTCCATTTCAATGAGATGTTAATTTGAAAGAATGAAATGGCTTGTAATGAAATTAGTTGTATTTATTAAAATAAATATCAGTAGAACAAACATTGATATATAGAATTAACATTATAATGAGAACAACCATTGAATAAAATAAATGTTAACGTATGAAAAGAATTTTCAGAGAGAAATTTAGCTTTCTAATTACTAAGAAACTGCAGATGTCATTTATTCTAAGCTCAAGAAAAGAAGTAACATTGCCAGCATCACAAGAGTGAAGAACCCATATCATCCATAGGATATATGTTAAGATAGTATTTTATCACATTTTACTACCACAGTCTCTATTAAAGAACTTATGCCACTTGCAATCTGAGATCAAGTACAGACATCTGTCTGTACTTGATACTTGTAGAAAGATAATGTCACATCAAATTTTCAGTTTTTACCATTTCTAAAATAATCAATATCCTATATCTTTAAATGCATCATCTATATTGTCAGAAAAGATTCTTTATTTAGATTCCCATGATAATATTCTTGATAAATTCTGCACTGGATGTTCTTAGAGTTGCACTATTAATCTTCATTGATACAATAAAGCAAATCCTGAATGTAAAACTGGCTAAAAAAAAAAAAAAAAAAAAAAAAATTTTTTTTTTAAATCTTGAAAGAGAACATGGTGGATATCTTCATTTCTTTTATATTTTCATTGTAGGTCTTAAAAAAAAAAAAAAAAAAAAAAAATCATCTGTAAAATAGGAAAACTTTAGTTTTCTCCCAAATTTTCACTTATACTGAAAATTAACTAGAGAATTTTTTTCATATCTTTAGCAACTTTACTAAAGAAAAGACTTCATAGTGTCAACTTTTACTTGAATTACCAAAATTCAAGTGCACCACTGATTTTTCAGCAGTTGATAGGCCAGCATCTCTTTAAATTCAAACAAAATTATGAGTATGCATTTGAATTTGACTTAATTGCCATCAGCTTTACTCAATCATTTAATTTACATTTAATAATAGTTTAATATAAGTTTCTAACATTGGTGATGCTGTAGAGATATAAGACATGCATAATTAATAGGTCCGAAATATATTATTCAATTGTTACCATATAACTTCTGTTGAACAGGCTAAATTTGGCATGGTTCTGGAACCAAGTATAAAGGTAAAAAAAAAAAATTAATACTATAGATACCCACAATAAATCAATAAAGTTCAATACTTTTAGATTTCTTTAAACTTCATGCAAGCTGATATAGCTGAGGTTTCACTTGTTAATAAGTTTTAAGTGATGAATTTGCTTGTCTCATGACCATATGGAATGTGAACCATTATAAAATTGTTTTTTCTAGAAATAAAATGTGCATCCCAGACAGGGTTCTAGAAAATTACTTTTGGGAGTGGCAC